CTGTGTCCTCCGTGGGGACAGCCCCTCCCTGGGAGTTCATGGTGCCCTTCGAGTTCAACGGTGCTCACTCCTCACACTTCCAGTGACCAGACATCCCAGACTGGCGATCGGGAGAACTCCAAGCTCCCTCCCGCTCCCCCCGAGCTCCGCGCACAGACTGGTCCCAGCCCGCGGCCGTCCGGGGCTAAGCATCCGTGACGTCACGGCGCGACGGCCAATCACCGCGCGGTACCCAGCCTCGGCTCCCACCTGGCTGCATCTGGCGGAGGGGCGCGTCACCCTTTGGATGCCGGACTGGGCAGGTGCCAGTTATGTAGGTAGGTGAGGTGTGCGCTGCCTGCACCACAATGTCAGATGATGGAGCTCCGATCTGTGCGGGCAAAGACAAGCAATCTATAGAAATTGGCATACTGGTGCTTGAAAAAAGTTCTCCATCAAGGTTGGCATACAAATATATATATAACAGAGTATATACCCATATTAAACTTCCCAGTGCATGCAATCATGTATGGGATAGGTGCCAGGGACCAGCTGCTGCTTTATCTCTTGCTTTATCCTAGACTTCCATTTTTCAATGCATGACCACAGATTTCGGTTCATTCTGCATTCCCGGCTGCTTTAAAGCTGAACTCCAGGCAGAAACATTTTCATCATTATGGCCATTATAATACAGGATGTATATAGCGCTAACAGTTTGCGCAGCGCTTTACAATATAAAGGAAGATGGTACATTTGCAATACAATTCAAGACAAGATGGTTGGAGAGCATTGCCCCTGAGAACATAGTCTGTGCAGTGAGAAGACCTGTGGGAGGGGCCCAGCAGGTCCTACCCTTACAGGCTGCCTGCAGTACACTAAGGGAGGGCAGGGACCAGACCAGTCACCCTGCACAAAAAGAGAGATCAGCAGTGACCAGTCTTTATTACAGAAGGGGGGGGGGTGACAAGACCAGTCACCCTACACAAAAGTATACATATATATATATATAATGACATTTGAGAAACCATTTTTAAGCTGGATAGATCTTGTAGAAGAGGCCATGTGCACACTTGGGCGATCCCGGGATGTTTGCCTTGCGGCCCCATTGAATATCGATGGGGTTATATCCGCATGGCGATCGCTGAATAAAGGTACATGTACATGTTTTTTCAGCCGCGATCGTGCGCGATGGCACGGGCAGAATAGTGGCGGGAAACCGCGCAATCTGCCTGGCGTGACTGGGGTGCCATTAGTAAAGAATCGCATCAACAGTGCGATTAGCGGTGGTGTGCGATCAGCGCGGTTTTGTGCACTATTACCGCGCGGTCACGGATTGCCCAAGCGTAAACCTGGCCCGAAACAAGATTTTTTTTTTGCAGTCAAACAGTACAGCCAGGTCGCCTCCCCCCACTGTGATGGACAGTGAATCCGTATTAGAATAGCAATGAACCATCATCCCTATGCTCCCTACTCCTAACAGGGTGTTCTGTGTCAGCACATGTGATTGGCTCCTAAGCGCTGCCACTCCCTCTGCGCTGCCCCTCCCTCTCCCAGCCTGATTTCTGCCATGCTGGGGAACAAAAAAGGATAAGAAGTCAAATTCAGGTGCTCACAGCCGTTGCCATTAAAAAAATACATTCCTCATGATATTTTAATGAACTCATTACTGCAGTAGGTCTTTTTATCTACTTTAAAGAAACGCAAAGGCCACGTTTTCACAAGCCGCGCGTCAGATGTGAGCATTTGTTGCCATAAAAGGACCACTTAGAGGACTTATACTGTATTTCTACATTTTGTAGTTTCAAAGCCGTGCTCTGCCAGTGTCAGGATTAGCTCCTCGTGCCGGGTTCCTATGCAATGTCCTCTTTTGTAATTTCGCTTGTTAGATCACTCGAGGGATCTCCAGTAATTAAGTTCTGTGTAAAGAGTTAAACACATTTACAGCACGCTCAGCTCTCAAAGGATTACACACAGACGTGTGCAAGAAATCCGGCACTTCTCCCAGGAAAAAAAAAAAGGAGGAAGAATGATAAAATTATCATTTTCTTGGGCACCAGATGTGATCCCAGAAGCCCTTCCACCACCGCTGTCTTCTTCTGGAGGAAAACAGGCACCAAAGCATCTGCTGACACATTGTGAATAGCCTGTTATCCTTTCAAAAATAAAGACACCCCCCCCCCCACCCCGCCCCGCAGCC